ACCAATCTTCTGGTTAGCAGTCACATGCCCTAAGCAGTATGCCACCAAGTCCACACATCTATTTCCAGGAATACCTGGAGATAGCTCTTATTTTTTAGGATGCTACGTGATTTACACCGTTTTACTTCTGCCTTATTTTTAGACTTCTCTTTGGGTGTCCACAGCTGTAGCCTCCAAAATGAGTCTGAAGCATCCTACCCTGCAAGTTCAGAGCTCTTCTGGGCACTGAATGGTATCTTTGCAGCCCTCAGGGCACCACAGTGGATGCAGCTCCCCTTTTGGGGTTATCTTTGTCACCTGGTCCCAGAGTAGCACTGCTTTAAGTTCCCTGTGCTCACAGAGAGGAGCTCTGGTAGCATAGTGCCTAAGGCACTTGACTGCTAACCAGAAGGCTGGCGGTTCAAACCCACCAGCCACTCCTCGGAAGGAAGGTTGGGCAATCTACTTCTGTAGTGATACTGCCTCAGAAACCCAAGGGGGGGTTGCTATGAGCCGGGTCCGACTCCACAGCACATAACAACAACAACATGCTCACAGAGAGATCAATGACACTATTCTTTGACACCTAGTTTCTTACAGCTTCCATACTTTCCAGAGCAGCACTTCAGGCCTGGGTGGGTAAAGAGAGAGGTAGGAAAGCAAGAGGAAAGGGCCACAAAAGTATAGCTGGAAAGCGACATGAGCCACACACTCACAGTGAGCCTTCTATCTGCAGCGGCCTACTCTGTGTGGGTCGGAGAGTTCCTACCTTGACGTACCACTAGATAACACACCCTTGGATCTTTGCACTTTAAATGTTTCCATGAATTCATACAGTCCTAGGAGTCCAGGCAATGCACCAAACAAAATGGTTCCTTCAAATCACTCCATTAGAGATTTAGTCCTTTGAGTTTTCTGTATTTTGAAGTCATTGTTAAGAGTGCTAAAATCCCTGGGCTTTATTCTGAAAAGAGTCTTGTCTGCCACCTGGCTGATAAACGGTTACTGCACAAATGGACACAGTTTGGAAGCTTAGAGAGAGAAACACACTATTTTGTGGTCCCTCTCATCATGCGATTTATTCATCTTCTTGTTATTATTTTAAAAACATTAATTCATATCCTATTATGTGGCATATCTCATTCTAGAAATTTTAAATTAAGGTTAAATAAAATGTAGTCCCAGCACCAGGGAAATGGCCAGATAGGATAGGGGGGAAAAGAAAAAGTTAAGAAGTCTGTATAGTTAAGAGAAGGACTTTTAAAAACCCAATATCCATGTCTTTCTTTAGAAGTTCTGAGATGACAGTTTTGGAGTTTGAAAAGGCTACAAGAAGGAAGCAGTGAAAACTAGAGTCTGTATGAGTTCACCAGGAAGATCCTGTTAGGTTCACCCCATCGCCTTTGGCAGGAATGTTGCACTGACTATCGATGACAAATTTGGCAAAGTGTAGTGAGATTTTAGTGAAACACCAGACAGGTTTCCTTAGACAAGATGGAGTAGTTGAGTTGGTAATTGCTTGAATGCGTGGAGGCTGATGATTATTTAAGGGAGCTATGTCAGTCGGGGTTGAGGTTTCCAGTGGGACGTCAATCTCTTACATAAGTGCTGCCCCTGTTCAATATTTTTATCAGTGACTCGGAAAGGTCAAGCATTACCAAATCTGCTTTTGATGGGCCAGATGATTCTGACTACATCTGGAGGTATGCATTTGGTTCTGGATGTACCACTTAAAGAGGGCATAGGCAAGCGGGAAGATGTTTTCAAGAGAGTGACCAGGATAGTGAGCTTAAGGAGAGGCATTTTTTGTTATTAGTCGCCACTGAGTTGGCTCTGACTCACAATGACCTTATGTGCAATGGAAGGAAGTGTTGCCTGGCCCTGCACCACCATCACAATTCAGCATGCTTGAGCCCATTGTGGCCCACTGTGCAGATGCGTGCCTTCCAACCCCGGGGACTCATCTTTCAGAACTATATTGGACAATATTCTGTTGCGATCCATAGGGTTTTTACTGGCTAATTTTTGGAATTCTTTTCTAATTTAGTCTGGAAACTCTGTTGAAACCTACCCACCATGAATGACTCTGCTGATATTAGAAATACTGGTGGCATAGCTTCTAGTATCATAGCAACATGCAAAGCCACCACGGTACTACAAACTGACAGATGGGTGGTGGTGAAGGAGAGCAGTAAGTATGTAATATAAGAAACTGGTGTGGTACTTGGGGATATTCAGATTAAACAGTAGAGGACCCAAGCAAGACATGACAGCCAAGAACCACAACCAGTTACCATCAAGAATCAATTTCCACTCATGGGCACCGCATGTATTTCCAAGAAGAACTGCGCTCCACGGGGTTCTCAGTGGCTATGATCTTTCAGAAGCACACTGACAGGGCTCCCTTCTGAGGCATCTCTGAATGTATTTGAACCACCAACCTTTCAGTTAGTAGCTCAGTGCTTAACCGTTTATGCCTCCCAGGAATTCCTTGACAGCCAAAAGTTAGTGTGTTTTATTTGGGTCAAACGACAGGATGGCAAACTAACCTTGGCACAGAAAGAACTTTCAGGACATTTGACTTTTTCAAAGAAAAAAAAAAAGCAAATCTCTATAATTTAGTAAAAGTTATAGCAGGATTGTTTTAATTTGGAGGATTCAACAATTTATCCTAAAATTCTTATAGAAGAATAGAGGCCCATGAATAGCTGAGTCAATTTTGAAAAAGAACAGAAAAATATTACTCTTGTCCAAACAATGATGAGATTGTCATAAGGTCATAATAATAAAACAGTGTGGTACCGATGCAGCCACTGGGGAAAAAGCTAATGGAACAGAACAAAGAGATCAGCGACAGACCCTCGTAATAAGGGAAACTTAGTATATGAATGTGGTGGCACTTCAAATAGAGTCCTGGGTGGTGCAAACAGGGAAGCACTCTATGACTACCTGCAAGGTTGGCAGTTCAAACACACCCAGAGGCACCTTGGAAGACAGGCCTGACAAGCTTCTTTCAAAAAGTCACAGCCTTGAAAAACCTATTAAGCAGTTTGACTGCATACATGACACATGGAGTCATCATGAGTTGGAATCAACTTGACATCAGCTAATAACAACAGCACCTTAAATAAATGGGATGGATGAACTGTTCAAGGGATGTTGTTGAACTAACTTATGATCATATAGGAAAAAATAAATTTGGAAAATTTAGTCACACAGTACACAAAGATCACCTAGAGATGGAATAAAGACCCAAATGTTAAAAAGTAAATCCTAAGATATATGGAAGAAAATACAGAAATACATATTTGTGATTTGAAAGTGAGGAAGGACTTAGATAACTTTCAAAGCACAAAGCAAAAGGGGGAAATGATTCCATTTTCTATTTCAAAAAAGGATTTTGAATAACATATACAACTATCAACTTACTGACAGTTTGGGAAAAGGGATGTGCAATGTGAGCACCATAAGAGGTAAATATATGGGAAAGACAAGAAATACTATAATATGTAGGCTATTGAAGCAAACCCACAAAGTCAAAGGTAGGAAGCCTATTTGAAAAACACGGCCTAAAAATTGGACCTGCAAGATCTTGGTTTCCTCATTGGTTCATTCAACAGATATTTATTGAGGGCCTTTCCCATATGAGGCACTGTTCTAACTACCAGGAATACAGCAGGTAAAATTCTCTGCCCTTACGGAATTTATATATCCCACAATGGTCTCTCCCACTGATAGGAAAAATAAATTCGTTTCTCAAAAACCAAAAAACCAAACTCACTGCCGTCGAGTAGACTACGACTCACAGTGACCCCTCCTTGGGTTTCCGAGGCGGTATTACTACGGAAGTAGATTGCCCAATCTTCCTTCTGAGGAGCAGCTGGTGGGTTTGAACCACCAGTCTTCTGGTTAGCAGTCAAATGTCTTAGGCACTATACCACCAGAACTCCTAAATTAGTTTCTACAAAGTGAATTTTCCTTTTTAATTGCAATTATATTATTCTAAAGTTGGAAGGATCTTTAGGTTGCATTTCTTCTAAAACTGTACTTTTGCATGATGATCAACAGCCTTCAGGGGCACACAAGTAGTTAATTAAGAGCTGACCCCTTGCAGGTGTTTACACTGTAAAGCACAGTGACTGGGTGGATCCAGAATGCCTAGGACTGAATCATGTGTGTGACCTACATCCTGTGTGTGAACTCTGATGACCTGTCTGAGCTTCAGTTTCTGCATCAGTAAAATGGCACTAATAATGAGATACCATAAAATTGGTACAAGGATGAAATAAAATAATAAACATGAAGAGAACTTCATCTGTCATATGATAAAAACTCCATGCTAGCTGTTTTTATTTCTAATCCTTGATGATGATTCCCAAAACTGGTGTTTTCCTGAATACCATATTTCCAAATTGGCATGACAACACCTCTTGGTTATTAGTCAGGCGATTAATTTTTTTCTTCAAGTAATGACAGAAAAGGAAGTCATTTTCTTCCTGGGAGACTCGATTTTGCTGGTGTATAAAATCTCTCTCAGGAATTAAATATTTATCCTGGTGTATGAATCTTTCACTCAGCGCTTTAGGACCAGAAGGGACCCAAGAGACCATCTTGCCAGTCCCAGGTCTTATTTTATACAGGAGGATTCAGAGGGCTTGAGAGGATTATGCCCTGCTCCGTGGTTACATAGAATCATGGTACTCCTTATGAAACTGCATGTAATTGTCGATTGCCTAAGAAAGATTAATGTCACTCATCCAGCTTTGGGAAATGGATCTGAATTGGCAAAGTGAATAATGCTCACATAATTAGAGACTTAGCTGAGAGGAATTATTGTCATTCAATGTATGAACAACCACCTTACGAGGCTCGGGCCATTCCTCAGTAGGTGGAGTCAGTCTCCCTCATTAGAATAAAGGTAAACAGATTCCACCCAATTATAAATGGAAAAAAAAAAATGTGTGCCCTCTGTCACCGAGGGTTGCAGAGGGTGACGACTGGAAACTTGGGTGCAGTGAAGCATGAGTTCTAAGTCAAAATCCATAGGGATCATCGGAGCTCCTTTCTCAAAGGGACAGGTTAGTAAAATGCCTGGCTCTTAACGGGAATTTATTTGAAAAGTTTGAGCTTTAAAGTCACTAAGGTCTTATTGTCTTGTTATTTTGTTTTCCTGATACAATTTGGTCTGGAGGGAGGAATACATGTTTGTATGTATTTAAAGTCCTTTTACCATTTTGCAACATTGTATAATAACTGTCACAAATCCATATATTCATATGGCCCCTAATTATAACCAGGGCCAATTTTATATGAATCTTCCTAGTTTTTCTTTACATTTTTAAGAGAAAGAATTTTTATTTGAATTGAAATGGACTACTTCTGTCATGTAGCTACTCAGACGTTCTCTGTCTTGTTGTTTTTGATGTGTGTGTGTGTGTGTGTGTGTGTGTGGACAGAGGGAGAATTTTAAGAAAACACTTAGTTATGTAATTCTTGCCTGGAAAAATTTCATACATTGGAGGCAACTTTCAGACGTCTCTTAACTTGGATAACCTAAATGTTATTGTTTCATACAACTCTGTAAATGATTCATAATTTTAAGGCTTTAATGAGTTAATAAAAATGGTAGTTTATAGAATAGGTAGAATCCTCTATATACCTCTCTTTAAAAGGAAAAAAAAAAATATATCCTACTGCAAGTTGGCAACATTGAAAGGATTAGTGGATTTAGGAAACGCAGATTCACCTGGCTGTGATTCAAAACCATGCCAGTGACATTAAATATACAGGTTTTTCCCTGCCTGAACACATTCATTCTGAGTAAACGTAAAAAGATTTCAGAAAAACTGACAGCAATATGGGTTTCTGCTATAAATGAAAATAAATAAGTAAACCGGAAGACAATGTGTGAGTTGAAACTCCTAAGTTAGATTTTTATTGTTGTTCTTGTTGAATAGAGCATTATCTTGGACTCTCAGAAGTCTCTCTGTTCACCTGGACAGCGTTTTACCCCTCTTATTTTTGAAGTCCTTCTTTGTACTCTGGCTTTTTATTGCAAAACAAATTTGCCGAGGTCAGAGGTTAGAGACCCAAACTGCATTTGGACTCAGTAAATAGTGTCTCATGCCTTCAAAAGTCTCTCCCAGAACACAAGAGCGTTTTGCTGACACAGAAGTGTTTCTTTCAATGCTGGAACTCACTGTGAAAACCACAGTTGTCTCACTTATTCTTGGAACAGGTTATAATACAGATATTATTGAAAATAATTGTCAGGAAAAAAAAAAAAGGAAGGCAATAGTTGACAAACAGAAGCCAGGAAGAAAGAAGTGAGGGATGGACTGAACGTGCTCTGGCCCCAGTATGTCAGCACAAGGCCTCATGTTATAGTAACAGCCTCTGTTGTTTTTGCTGTTGGGTCGGCCCCCTGACTCCTGGTGACCCAGGCACAGAGGGATAAAATGCTGCCCAGGGTCGGCTTTTGTCAGGCCCCACAGTGATCTCCTCTCAGGGCTTTCAATGACTGATTTTTGGAAGTAGATCACCAGGCTTTTTCTTCCCAGTCCACCTCAGTCTGGATACTCTGCTGAAACCCATTCAGCATCATAGCCACCCACAAGCCTCCACTGAAAGATGGGTTGCGGTTATTCATGAAGTACATTAGCTGGAAATTGAACCCAGGTCTTCCACATGGAAGATGAGGATTCTGCCACAGAATCCCTCCTGACCTCTAAAGCCACTGTAAGCCAGTTGCTAAAGAGTCAGTTCTGACTCATGGTGACTTCACATGTTTCAGAGTAGAACTGCACTTCATAGGGTTTCCAAAGGATGTGATCATTCAGAACCTTCAGCCAGGCCTTTCTTCTGATGCACCTCTGTGTAGATTCAAACTACCAACCTTTCAGTTGGTAGCTGAGGACTTAACCATTTGGGCCATCCAAGAAGTGCTGGGTACAGCATTTGGCTGCTAACCCCAAGGTCAGTGGTTCAAATCCCTCAGCTGCTCCGAGGGAGGCATTTGAGACAATCTCTTCTGTGAAGATTTACAGCTCTGGAAAGCCAATGGCAGTTGCTATGAGTTAGAATCAACTCAATGGAAGTGGGTTATTCAACTGATTAAATCATGGAAAAGGTTTCTATTGTGGATATCTGATAGTCATGATAATGTCTGAATTGTTTTATTTCCTAATTGTTCAGCCACGAGGAGGGGTGGAAGAAGGCCCTACTGCATTGAGAAAGGCTGGTCTACTTGAGAAACTTAAAGAGCAAGGTAATTTTTCAGTTGAAAGAATCAGCTTGATTTCCTCGCCACTGAAGGAAGGAGCAGAGGCTTGTTAAATTGGGGTGGGTCCAGAGTGACATTTATACCAGGGAGTTGCAGCACTGGTTGGAATCTTGTAAACATATCTTATAAAGTAAGCAGCATGTGGGGAGTATGCTCAGGAAATATTATTGGGTGAATACTCTTGGGGATGAGGGCAAACATCCTCACTCAGATATTCTCTTTCCAGCCAAACTATTCTATAAGAGAATTTGTGTGTGGTGGGCTGGGGACAGGGAAATTGGAGGGGTTTTAAAACAAAAGGCAAGGGGTAGCAGAAAGTATACCATTAGCAAGTTACTGTTGTTATTTGCTATCAAGTCGATTTTGACTTGTGACCACTGATACATGCAGAGAACTGCTCAATGCTGTTTCCAAGGCCGGGACCTTGAAGTGCATTGCCAGGCCTCTCTTCCAAAGCGCCTCTGAGTGGGTTCCAACCACCAAACCTTTGGCTGGTCGTCAATCGCTCACTCATCGGTGCCACCAGGGACTCCAACTACTAGTAAGAGAGCCCTTTTCTATGAAAGGAAATAAAGAGAACAGCAATAACAACAGTAATAATGCCAAGTGTTGTATAGTGTGTGTGTGTGTGTGTGTGTGTGTTTATACTCTCTCACACATAAACCTGCAAATGCAACATTATATATATTTTAGAATACAGACTTAAATCCATGTCATCTTTCTATATAAAACTCTGATGAAGTGTTGTTGAGCTTGGGGAACAGCTGGAACCCTCATGTATTGGTGGAAATGCAAAATGATACTGCCACTTTGGAAAACAGTTTCTCCAATAACTACACGTGCATTTACCTTCTGACCCAGAGATTCTACTCCTAGGTATTTACCTGAGAGAAGTGAAAAGATGTTCACACACAGATTTGTACTTGGCTGTTTGTAGCAGCATTATTTAGAATAGCACACAAGTGAAAACAACAAAGTGGTCCTCAACTGGCCAACAGGTAAAACGTGGCATGTCCTTACACTAGATAGTACTCAATGAGAAGGGACAGGCCGATGACACAAGGACATGGATGAGTCTCAAATATATTATGCTACATGAAGGAGGCCAGGCACAAGACTGTATACTGCACGATTCCATTTCTATGAAGTTCTAGAAAATACAAAAATATAGCAACAAAAAGCCATTCAGTGGTTGCCTGGGGCTGTGCGTGTGCGTGTCATGGACTGACTGCAAAGGGACAGGAGGGAATTTGGGGGTTAATGGAAGTATTATAAAACTTGATTTCTGTAGTGGTTGCAAGATTGTAGATATTTCCAAAACTCATTGACCTGTACACTTAAAATGGGTGAATTTTAATGAACAAAAATTGTACCTCAGTAAAACAAATAAAACAAAATGCCCAACAGAGAACGGAAAGTTAGTTTGGATAAATGGACAAATTCCTTCAGTTACTAAATACAATTTGATAACATTTTCTGCCAGGTTAAATCTTTTGATTCATGGATATACAAATAAATATAATATACCAGAGTCAGTTACCTATAGAACACAGACCTGACCCCATGCCACAGTTTTACATGAAGTTCTATACTGTTGAAGTCTAACACAGGGCTTTTAGGAAGTACACTAGAGTCCGTAGGAACTTTGATCACCTGCATTTTTTTTTTTCTTATTAAAACTGTATAGTAATAAAGTTGCATCCTAAGCGCTCTCAGCGTTAAGCTCAGCACAAACTCATGTTATCTAATTCTCACAACAGTACTAAGAGGCAGAGCTGCTTCAGTAGGTGACAGACTGGATTAAGACCAATGAGCTCTGGTGGCATAGTGCCTAAGGCACTTGACTGCTAACCAGAAGGCTGGCGGTTCAAACCCACCAGCCACTCCTCGGAAAGAAGACGGGGCAATCTACTTCCGTAGTAATACTGCCTCAGAAACCCAAGGAGGGGGTCACCATGAGTCGGGTGTGACTCGACGGCACATAACAACAACAATTACTAGAGTTGGAAAGTTTACAAAATATGGATGCATTCCCTCTGGGTATAAATATATAAATATTCTTAATGATGCATTTATTATAAAAATGAAATCTATTTATCATAGAAGATTAGAAAGTACACAAGAGAAGAGAGAAAGTGAGAGCAGATCCCCATCAGGTCCAAGTCAGAGCATCACCACCGTCACCTCATCGAGGCTAGCCTAAACGTCACCTCGTAGAGGCTAGCCTGTCACCTTGTCGAGGCTAGCCTAACCAGGCGGATTCAAGATCAGGCTTTGTGTAGGGCACTGGTGGGAGGATGGCAGGCAAAAGCAGACATGGTTTTTACCTTTGTGACATTCACAATCCTTCCAGATTTTCTGCTTATACCTTTGAAAATATATCTAGTTTGCAAAATTGGAATCACCCTACACATACTGTTTTGTAATCTCCATTTTTTAAACTTAGTATCCTGAAACTTTTAATTTTAGCATGTGATGTGAAAGATTATGGGGACCTGACCTTTGCTGATGTCCCTAATGACAGTCCCTTTCAAATTGTGAAGAATCCAAGGTCCGTGGGAAAAGCTACTGAGCAGCTGAGTGGTGTGGTGGCAGAAGTCAAGAAGACTGGGAGAACCAGCGTGGTACTTGGCGGAGATCACAGGTTTTGTTTAATGATTGTCTATTGGAGTCTGGCACAAACGGTTAAAGGAAGGATAGCCAAGACCATGAGGAGAGAGAAATACATAGGCAAAGCATTGATGAGTATTTCCGTATTTCACTTCTGTAAGTCCCAAAGGACATGATTTTTTACTAAATTTTCTGCACTTTTTCTTTTTATTATTTAATTTTATTAAGGACCTCTGGTGGTGCAGTGCCTAAGACATTTATTTGACTGCTACCAGAAGGTTGGTGGTTCAAATCCACCAGCTGTTCCATGGAAGGATGATGAGGCAATCTACTTCCATAAACATTTACCACCTTCAAAACCCAATGGTGGTCACTATGAGTCTGAATCAACTCAATGGCAGATTTTTTTTTTAATTTTATTAGATATTATGGAAGCATATACACAGCTTAGAAATATGAATGGATTTCAGTAAAATATTCAGCACAGGTTTACTTTTCTAAGTAAATAAGCACCAAAGAAATTCAGTCTATTATACTTGATGACTGATAACATGCACAACTCTTTGAGATCAAAAAATTTTAAGTATGTTTTCCATTATAAAAGTATAATTATGTTTTAAATGTATACATTTAAAAATCACAGGCTTACCAGTGTTACATCTTATGATGTAATCTTAATGATTCAAGCATAAAGCAAGTGACTTAAGAAGTATTTGGCACTGGTGTGAGGATATATATGTACAGTATTTCTATATCTATGCAAATTGTACTTTCCTAACAATGGTGGTAAGCATTTTCGCCCTGGTATATTTCTTTTCTAGCATATTTTCCCCTGGTATATGAAGTTGTTTAAAATGACTGGGTATATGTTACATCCTATGTTATGCTCTTCATCTATGGTACAAAATTCCTTAGGCATGGTATGCATAAGCATTTTTTTATTGCTATATAATTTTTCCAATGAACTACATTGAGAGAAGTGCCTCCTCATGTGAGGCAATTTCTGGCACAGTTAGTGTTTTTACACACATTTATTATTTTGTTTTGGCTAAGAAATATTTTGCCACTGTACAGAAGATAGATTTTGAAAAGTAATTGTGATTTTTAGTAATTACATCAATCAACCGTAACTTGTTTGTTGTTGTTGGGCGTTGAGTCAGTTCTGACCCACAGCAACCCCACGTACAACAGAACCAAACACTGCCCAGTCCTGCATCATCCTCACAATTGTTCAAGTTTGAGCCCATTTTTGCAGCCACTATGTCAATCCATCTCACGGAGGGTCTTCCTCTTTTGTGGTGTCCCTCAATCTTACCAAGCATGATGTCCTTCTCCAGAGACTGGTCCTTCCTGATAACATGTGTATAGCACGTGAGATGCAGGCTCACCATCCTTGCTGCTAAAGAAAATCCTGGCTATCTTTCTTCCAAGACAGATTATGACCGTTCTTTTTGCAGTCCCTAGTATACTCGATATTCTTTGCCAACACCATAATTTAAAGGCATCAATTCTTCTTCAGTCTTCCTTATTCATTGTCCAGCTTTCATATGCATATGAAGTGATTGAAAATACCATGGCTTCGGTCAGGCACACTTTAGTCTCCAAAGTGACATCTTTGCTCTTCAACACTTTAAAGAGATCTTTTGCAGCAGATTTTCCCAGTGCAGTATTGTTTCATTTCTTGACTGCTGCTTTTATGGGTGTTGACTATGGATCCAAGTAAAATGAAATCCTTGACAACTTCAATCTTTTCTGCATTTATTATGATATTGCTAATTGGTCCAGTTGTGAGGATTTTTGTTTCCTTTATGTTGAAATGTAATCCATACTGAATGTTGTGGTCTTTGATTTTCATCAGTCAATATTTCAAGTCTTCTTCACTTTCAGCAACCAAGGTTGCATCATCTGCTTATTTCAGGTTATCAACGAGTCTTCTCTGATCTTAATGCTGCATTCTTTTTCATATAGTCCATTTCCTTGGATTATTTGCTCAGCATGCAGATTGAACAAGTATGATGAAAAGATACAATTTTGACACACATCTTTCCCGATTTTAAACCGCACAGTATCCCCTTGTTCTGTCTGAATGACTGTCTCTTCGTCTTTGTACAGGTTCTGCATGATCACAGTTAAGCATTCTAGAATTCCTATTCTTTGCAATGTTGTCCATAATTTGTCATGGTTCACAAAGTTGAATGTTTTTGCATAGTCAATAAAATACAGGTACACATCTTTCTGGTATTCTCTGCTTTTAACCAAGATCCATCTGACATCAGTAGTGATATCCCTTGTTCCATGTCCTCTTCTGAATTTGGCTTGAATTTCTGTCAGTGTCTATGTATTGTTTTTGATTTAACTGTTTTTGAATTATCTGCAGTGTAACTGTACTTGCATATGATATTAATGATATTTTTCAATAATTTCTACATTCTGTTGGATCATCTTTCTTTGGAATGGGCATGTATGTCCATCTCTTCCAGTCAGTTGGTCAGGTAGGTGTCTTCCAAATTTCTTGGTATACAGGAGTTAAGTGCTTCCAGTGTTGCATCCATTTGTTGAAACATTTCATTTGGTATTTCATCAATTCTTGGAGCCTTGCTCTTCACCATTGTCTTATATGAAGCATGGTCTTCTTCCTTGCAGTACCATGGCTTCTTGATCATATGCTACCTCCTGAAATGGTTTAATGTTGACCAATTCTTTTTGATACAGTGACTCTGTGTATTCTTTCCATTCTCTTTTGATACTTCCTGTGTTCAATTTTTTTTTGCCAAAATAATCCTTCAATATTGTAACCTGAGCTTGAGTTTTTTCTTCAGTTCATTTAGCCTGAAAAATGCCAGATGTATTCTTCCCTTTTTGTTTTCTAATTCTAGATCTTTGCACATTTGTTTATGATGCTTTGTCTTCTTGAACTGCCTTTTGAAATCTTCTGTTCAGCTCTTTTATTACATTTCTTCCATTCGCTTTAGCTACTTCAAGAGCAAGTTTCAGAGTCTCTTCTGACATGCAGTTTTGTCTTTTCTTTCCCATCTTTTAATGACCTTTTGCTTTCTTCATGCATGATGTCATCCTACAACTTGTCTGGTCTTTGGCCATAACTTACAAATATTAAGGGTAATAAGCTATAGTTCTTCCCCACTACCCAAAAGTAGAGTTCCAATGAAAGCTTTCATAAACCAAAATGGCATAAAGAAGCAATTCTATTAATTTATGAGAAACATTTTGAGCATTCCCACACCCAAAAAATAACCTAACAAATAATATATAAAAACTAAAATAACACTACCATACAGTGTTCACAGACACAGCTCAAAGCAATGGCAGCTTGATACTGAGTGTATTTCCTGGGGAAGGGGCCTGGCAATGACACCACACTGCTTGCTCAGGATGCAGGCCTCTTTAGCACTCTCTACAAAACATTCACTGAACACTAGTTTCACTTTTCACTTTTTTTTTTTTGTAAAAGCAAAAATCCTCTTTGGATTTCTTTCACTTAGAGAAAACAGGTACTACTGTATGTCTTTTCCTAAAAGTGAAGTGGTGTAAAGAGAATTTTTACAAAAGAGGAAGATACTGGTACTTTTTTTAAAAAATAAAAATTGTTTAACTGGCAGTCTCCATTTTCAAACCTATCAGAAATAGTAACTTTGACTGAAAGGAAAGCCAAGCAGCAGGAACACTGAATGAGTTTATATATATATAGATGTGACCTGTATTGAGACACTGCAAACCCGATGTTCATGCAAACTGTTCTTCCTCTAGTTTAGCGATTGGAAGCATCTCCGGGCATGCCAAGGTCCACCCTGATCTCTGTGTCATTTGGGTGGATGCTCACACTGATATCAACACTCCACTGACAACCACAAGTGGGAACTTGCATGGACAACCTGTGTCTTTTCTCCTGAAGGAACTAAAGGGAAAGGTAAAAGGCTGATTGACATTTTATTACAAGTGTAATCTTTAGCAGAAGTTCAGGTGGTGGAAGGGAAACAAGAAGCCCTACGCCCTCTCATTTTTGGTGCTGCCTTAAAGCATTTTCTCTGCAGCCAACAAGTAAAGGATTAGCTGATAAAAATGAGCGAGGCTCTCTGCTTTTACCTTACTTGGTAGTTTGCAAACTGACTTTGTATACATCTTCTCTTTTGATTCTTACAACTACCCTTTGCAACAGGTAGAGCACTACTACCAGCACCAGTTGCCATCAAGTCACTTCCAACTCATGGCAACTCCATGTGTGTCTGAGCAGAACTGTGCTCCATAGGGTTTTCAATTTTTTTTTTTTTTTTAAGTAGATGGCAGCTATGTCTTCTGTGGTGCCTCTGGGTGAACTCAAACCTCCAACTTTTTGGTTAGCAGCCATGCACATTAACTGTTTACACCATGCAGCAACTCTAGTGAAAACACTCCTTTATACATAAGTTATCAGCTCAGAGCTTAAGCATCTTGCTGAGATCATGTCACGCATATAGCAAGGGAAGGCGCAGAACCAGGTCTCCTAACTCCTACCTCTTTGCAACATACCACATAGCATCTTCTTCTTACAAATTTATTAAAAGTAAATACAGATTACAGGGTCATTTTAAAAATGGAGGTTTTAAATGCAAGATTATAATGATTTATATTAACATTTTTAGCATGAAAAGTGCTTATCTTAATCATAGGAGGAAGAACTATCTCTTTCTGCTATACTGAAAACATGTAAAATGAAATTCCAGACCAAAATTTAACATGTAGTTAAATTTGTATTTATTGTTAAGTGTTAACAGCTGCAGTATGTTAGTCCTTATGATGATGCATGGGGATTCAAACAAACCTCCTTATGTTAATTGTTCAAGAGTAGTATTTCCTGCGTTGATGATCAAGTGCTAGATTTAGAAACTTAAAAAATGTCTACCCAGCACATGAGAACAACCCAGCGAGGCTCCAGGACAAAGCAGTTAGCACATTATAATGTGAGGAATAGCCAAAGGTCCGTCTGGTCAAAAATTCCCCTCAGGCATCCGAGACCATCCTTTGGATCAAGTCCCTTATTGATAAAGAGAAGGCAGGCAGGCAGCTATCAAGGCAATGGAAGCACACTGATTTCTCATAGAAAAGTCCTGGGATAGTGGGGCACAGAGCAGGTAAACGCTGATAAATGGTTCAGGTTAGGTCTGGGCCCCAGGGTGAGGCTGTGTGAGGCCAAGGCAATCAAAGACACAAAGGGAGGCAAGCATATCCCTTTCTAAATTTTTTGACTTTTAAAATTATTTCCTCTACATTTAAGATACATGTACATTCTCATGTTCTAAATATAAGTTAGCAACCCAACCGGTCTAATTTTAAATGTAAGACTTACTCTTGTTGTGGTTGGTGGTGTCAATTCCAACTCACGGTGACCCCAAGTGCAGAACAGAACTACTCCAGAAAGTTTTCAAGACTGTGACCTTTTGGAAGCTGATTGCCCAGGCTTGCCTTTCAAGGTGCCTTTGGGCGTGTCTAAACTACCAACTTTTTGGCTAGTAGTTGAACGATGAACTGGTTATGCCATGCAGGGATTCCCAACGATTTACTCTGGAGGAGCATACTTAACCAAATGAACTATTGCAATTTTAGATCCCAGATGTACCAGGATTTTCCTGGGTGACTCCCTGCATATCTGCTAAAGACATTGTGTACATTGGCTTGAGAGACGTGGACCCTGGTGAACAGTGAGTTTATTTTTTGATATGAGTTACTTTCATTTCTTACGTGTTAGGTATGCTTTGCTGGTCCAACCTACAAGAACAGCTCTCTCTCTCTATGCACAAATCACAAAACCCAATTATTTTACGTATTTGCTACACTGACCTTTAACAGGAAAAAAAGAGAAAATGTTTATTAGTGCTTACCAGGGCTTAGGGGGAGAGAGGAATAGAGAGTTATTGCTGCGGGGGTACTGAGTTTCTGTTTGGGGTAAACAAAACTTTTGGAAATGGATAGCGGTGATGGTAGCACATATGATGAATGTAATTACTAACCCCAATTTGCACTCTTAAAAATGATTAAAATGGCCTACAACAATCAAAAGACAGACAACCCAATCAAAAAATGAGCAAAGGATGTGAACAGACATTTCTCTAAAGAAGATACACAGGTGGCCAACAAGCACATGCAAAGATGCTCAACACTATTAGTCATTTGGGAAACATAAATCAAAACCTCAAAACCACAAAACCAGTGAGATACCACTTTACTCCCACTAGGATGGCCACTATAGAAAAACAAAAATAGCAAGTGTTGGCGAGGGTGGAGAAATTGGAACTTCATCCATTGCTAGTGGAATTGTAAAATGGTGCAGCCACTATGAAAAACAATTTGGCAGTTCCTGAAAAAGCTAAACACAGAATTACCATATGTCCCAGAAATTCCACACCTAGGTATATACCCCAAAGAACTGAAAACTTATTGAATACAAACAGAAACTTGTTACAGTGTTCACTGCAGCACCACTTAAGTAGATAAAGAAGTAAACAACCTAAATGCCCATTCACAGATAAATGGATAACAAAATAAGCTATATACATACAGTGGACAACTACTCGGTCATAAGAAGAAATGATGTCCTGACACATGCTTCAACATGGATGAGCTTTGAAAACACTATGCTAAGTAAAATACGTCAGTCACAAAAGGACAAATACTGTGTGACCCCACTTACAAGCAGTATCTAGAGTTGGCAAATTCACAGAGACAAGTTTATTAGTGGTTACCCAGGGCACGTGAGAGGCGGAAATGAGAAGTTACTGCTTACAGGGCACTGAGTCTCTTCACGGGTGATGAAAACAGGGAGACAACGAAGATGGCTGCACAACATGGTGAAGGTAGTTAATGCCGCTGAATTGTACAAGTGAAAAGGTTCAAACAACAAGTGTTTTTGATGTATTCTACTACAATTAAAAATGTGGTTAAAGTGGCAAACTTTTATTACACGTATTTCACCATTAAAAAAAAAAGTAAACAAGGGTATAGAGTCAATTTCCTTATTAACTGTATATTATCTTAATGTCTCTTATAGCTACATTTTGAAAACTTTGGGTATTAAATACTTTTCAATGAGTGAAGTGGATAAACTGGGAATTGGCAAGGTGATGGAAGAAACATTCAGCTACCTCCTGGGAAGGTATGGTGTATGTGTGTGTCTCATAAATATTACTCAGGACTTGTTACAGACACTTACCGATTTAAGTGATTCATAAAGCCTTTAAGTGAAATCATGGAACTTCACTGGGTTGTTACTTTTATAAAGCAAGGTAACAACTATATTTACCTATTAAACATTAAATCATCACCTTTAAACTGAATTCCCTTCCCATCTTTTAAAAGAAAGAAAAGGCCAATTCATCTGAGTTTTGATGTTGATGGACTGGACCCGTCTTTCACACCGGCTACTGGCACACCAGTTGTGGGAGGTCTGTCTTACAGAGAAGGGCTCTACCTTACAGAAGAAATTTACAAAACAGGTAGGTAAAAATCTAGGGGAATAAGCAACAAGTGTACACTTGGCCATATATACTTCTGTCTTCTTGATTTGAAAACCAAGTACCTAACGACACTTCACAAACACTCATTACATAAGGCAGTAACGTAAGAGTTTTCAGTGGGTTACCATCTCTTTACATTACTGGATAATCTTTCAAGTCAGTTTGTATGAGTTGAAAACATCAGCTATTTTATAAACTACATTATTACTGTTTGTCGTTGTAGGGCTACTCTCAGGATTAGATATAATGGAAGTGAATCCATCTCTGGGGAAGACAGCAGAAGAAGTGACTCGAACAGTGAACACAGCAGTGGCAATAACCCTGGCTTGTTTTGGAGCTGCTCGGGAGGGTAATCATAAGGATATTAACTACCTTAACCCACCTAAGTAAATATGGAAACATCATCTATGAATCTCACAGCTAATAATGTAATTAGCAAATCTAATTATTTACTTAAGCCTATACTTATCCTCCCAAAGATTGCTCTTTTCAGAAAAACGTTTTGCCTTAGTAAATATATAATTAGAATAAACTCTACAAATTTGACTTCCCTTTGGTGTGAAATGCAAGATTTGGAAATTAGAGCTTTTTTAAAAGTAGAAAGTTTTATTACCCATTTTAACAAATATCTATCTTTGGAAAGAAAACCGTATAGTTTCCAATTGAAAATTTGCTGATAGTTACATAAACACTCACAAAGTAGGACTCCTGATACTAGGAGACAAAGCTACCTCACCTGAAAAGGTATCATATATCCACGTTGTTCAAAAGATGGGATTTTTATAATGAACTCTTTATAAGAAGATTCTATAGTTTATATGTTCCCAAACACCTGCAAATTATCTGCATATACACGTATGTACATACATACATATGCATATATACATCCTACTTGAAACTACTATAATTTAAAATACTACAGTGAACATTCTCCAAACACTGGAAGATTCTGGAGAAGGAATTTTAATTCTCTGGCTCTAGTTTCTTCATCTGCAAAATGGGTAAGCATTAATGTTAGATGGCTATATTTTACTTTTTAAACCTCAAACATGACATTGGTCGCTAGTTTAAATGTGGCTGATAATCAGATAGCTTCTTGGGACATAGAAGATATCCTCACAAATGTATTAAGTAGAGAGAGAATTCAAACTGCTATTTTGTTTCCAAGATCTAATAATTCAGATTAGGATACAAATAAAAAATTATCTGTGACTTCAAAGTGTTCCACTCTTTGCTTATTACAATGACTGTATCTTTCTTCAGCTTAAATCCTTAAATATCCTAAAACTTAATATTGGTTTTGGAATATAGGGAGAAAGTAGCAAAACAAATGACAGCAAAGGACAATCAAATCCAGGGACACAAGCTCCCCCTCCTTTTCCCCCAGCACCCCTAACCCACATAACCCAAGAGGACTTGTGGAAGTAGGTTCTATCCTATTGTCGCTGTTGTCTAACAGATATAAGGAACCTCTATCATCTGATTTCTCACATTTAACACAGAATTTTGAAACTGTTGCCTCTATGATCTTTGAAAGAGAAATATTTTATTGAATTACATTTAGATAAGCCCAAATGTGGTGGATCATACTCTAGAAATATGCTGCCCAATACTGTGGCCACATGTGGTCATTTAAATTAAGAAAAGTTAATAAAATTAAGAATTCAATGCCTTAGCTGCACTAGCTATGTCACGTGCTGGACGGCACAGGTGCAGAATATTCCCACAACTGCAGACAGTTCTATCAAAAGAGCTGCTCTGAAGTCAGAACTGATTTTTTAAGAAGTTCTTTTTTTTAATGTAATGAACATAAAGTGTACTTGTTATATACTAAATAGTTTCTGCCTTCTATTAGTGTCTCTGGTTAATAATAATCTTTTAAAAACCCATTCTAAGAAAACCGTATTTCTAGGTTTTTTTAAAGCTAGAGAGGGAAAATTAAATTTTTGTTAATTGTAACATATACAGTAGCCCTGGTGGCAAAGTAGCTAAAGTGCTAGGCTGCAAAAAAAAAAGTCAGTGATTTGAACCTACCCATTCTGTGGGATAAAGATGCGACAGCAAAGATTTACAGCCTTGAAAACCCAATAAGGCAGTTCTACCCTGGTCTACAGGGTCATTTTGAGTCAGAACTGGGGGCAAAAGGTTTAGTTTATTTGGGGGAATATATATGTTTTCAGGAAGCAATACTGCTGCTTTTCCATTTGTATATTATCAGTGTCACGATTACTTCCATCCTAGGATCTCAAAGCAATACATTCCTCTTAAAGCACAAGAATAGAGTAAGACTATGTGGAGAGTAATACCTGAAATCCTTCCTAGCATAAAACCTCTGAAGATTTTGACAATATTAAGTCTAATAAAATGACTTAGGACATTATATAAATATCAAGCAGGGCTTAAATAGCAAATAAAGAGTTAGCCTAAGTGATTGTACTAATGTGACCCATGTGGAAAATAAAAGTCTGACAGGCATGTATTTGGAAATAAGAATCTGAAATACAGTTGCTTAAACTTTACTGGTAAATCTTTTAAAAAAATTAGTAACTCTTAGTTCCTAGGTCAACGCCTTCTCATCAGCTGTGCCACGCACAACCCACAGAAGCCACGCAGCCCTAGGCTGTGATCCAGACAGCAGACACTCATTCACAGGAAGTATGAAAGAAATAATAGAGCTTATTCATTCAACAGATTTTTACTAGTTTTCATCTTCTACAACCTTAATGTCATTTATTTCTTCCCAAATTAACAGTATGTCCCTAAAAATCTAATAAACCCTAAAGAACTAAAATGAGCACTATATTTAAAAGTACATTACTAAATATTTATAATCTTAAAATTTTTGAAAGCTTCACATAATTTGGCTGGTGAGAGTGTCAACCTAGAAGAGCTATTAATTTATCTTTTAAAATAGATAGTTGAAAATCAACTATTTAAACCTGATTTTATTTAAGTGTATACATTTACATAGATGTTATTTTCTTACATGGCTTCCAACTTATTTCAGACAGTAAGTTCAAGTACACAGCAAAGGCAAAAACTGCCAAACTACATTGATGGAAACATTAGACATTTACTTGGAAGACTACAAAAAATTTTAAGCCATTAAAAAAAAGAATATGAGACTGTTTGCCTCTGCAATGCAATGCAATCTAAAAGTTCTTTATCTGGTAAAAGTCCCAGACACACCAAAGAAGATTTATGCATAAAAGGATTTGTAATAACTAGCTCTTTTATATGTTGTGATATTTTTAAAATAACATATTTAAATACTGAATCTGTCATTAATAATAATTAAAAAAAAAAAAAAAAAAACAATGACCAGAATAGGAAAGACTGAGAATGCCTAGTACAAGTGATTTCTTCATGGATACCTGTCTTCCTAGGTAGCTCCAAAAAATTGTTATGGGTATGATCAGACTGTAGCTGACTTGATCTCTTAGAGACAAAAATACAGCTAGGGAGGTGGGAGTTATAAGGTTTCCATAGATTCATCAGTTGAATCAAAGTAAAACAATCTGAACATCATTGTTTATTCTATTTGATCAGCATGTAATTCGTTCATGTTCAGATTTACTAGATCTGAGTTCACTTTCAGAGATGGGTGTATTTCCATTTCACCACACTATGCTCTGGCTTCACTGAGTTACAGGTAAAGATACTGGCACCTGATTAGGCTGAGGTGCTGGTGACCCAGTGTTTATGGCTTGTGAAGGTACTGCAGCGGGTTCCATCTTGCTAATGTGTGTGATGAATCGAAGACGAAGCTTTAAAGCTGGTTTTAAATTACAGATAATCTTCTCTACCTAAGAAATGAAAATACATTAAAAAACATTTTCACCAGAGAATTTCAAACCATCTTCAAAGATTTAACCATCTTAAAGAAGTGATTTACACATATTCTGAGACAGTAAACTGGGGAGTGGAGCAGGGTGGATGACAAGTTTCTCTACATGTTCTGTGTTTAACAAAAGAAGATACAATTATTTCTCATTCTCTCTTTAGCTAGCATATATTTGTTTATATTTCATGTTGTGTGTATATTACATATGCATAAGCATATTCTTACAGAAACATATCCTTTTATCTATCTAACCAGTCATCCCACTACCAAAAGCTAGAATGTCAAAAATTTTACACATTGAACAGTTGATCATCCTTTTAAAATGCCATTTTTACAGAAGCATGAAACATGACTGTATTTTAAAGTTCTCTGAACCATGTTAGCAACATTTATCTACTAATTTTTTTGTTTTTATACTTGAAATTAAAATGAAAAAATATTATACCTATTCTTACTTCAATACTTTAAGAAAATAAATACATCAACTAGTTTCACAGTTTCTTTACTTTTACTAAAATCTTTTTTGACCTTACCAGGAGGGATCAATCATTAGTAATAGTTTTCCCTTTCTGTTTACTTTTAGGGCAAAGTTTCTTAGGCCCAAGTATAAAGGATATGCTAAATAAAACTTTTTTTTTTAATTGCTTTCCACTCAACTCTTTTTGATAATCTTGTTGAATGCATAAAGGAGTCAACATCCTCTGCACTCAATCTCTTCAGCCTCAAGGGAAGAACTCAGTAGACTAGGATCGGTATCTCCATTTACCTCCCTTTCCCAGTAGAGAAAGAACTAATATTAAATATGGAGGAGGGTACTAAGCTGCATCTACCCTACCCCCCTACAGCAGCCCAGATACTGCTCTCTGCAGACAGGAAGCTCAGGATGATTCAGGGAGGTCCTTGTACTTTTGGACAGCTCTATCAGGGAGTGTCTCAGAGTGTGCCTCCTTTCAACTGCACCAGAATTCATAAACCCTTTGAGCTGATACACAGCAAATCCAGTATCTATTCCATATGGCAACCCTTCAAATAGTGAAGACATGAACAATTCCCTAAAATTGTTCTTCTTCAGAGTAAGCATTCCCTGATCTTTCAAATACTCTTCATGAATTATTCTCTTGACCATCTAGACTTCTGTCTTCCACTCATGCTATAATTGGTCCAATGTCCCCAGTGTACCCTAACCACTGAGAGAAAAGGAAGGACCCCCTTCATTCACAACCCAACACCTTGCTGGTCTTCTTAGTGGCCACAACACACTGTTTCTTCCTAATGAGATCACTGTCAATTAACTCTGTTGGTCTTTTTTCACATATTGCTACAAATATCAAGGGAGAAAAGTGTGAGAAGTCATAACATGTATTTAATACTATATCAAGAATACTATTTCAAGAGTCTGATACCAACCCTTTCCCCTTATTAAAAATCAACCAAAACAGAAAAACTTACCCAAACAAAAAAGTCCAATACCATGTGTTTAAATTTTCTAATGACATTTAAAAATAGTCAAACAAATTTAACTTACCTGCTCTTTTACGCTGTCACC